TATCTGATCAAGTGTACATGTCTATATCTCTATTTTTGAGTAGAGATCTGTCTGACTGGAACGGAATTTCTACAGCATATATATTTTTCTTAGTGTGATGGAAACCATTCGGCTGATGTAGAAAAGTTTCTTCAGATGTTGTAATGGAATTATCTTGCCTGTGGGTTTTCTATATGTTACCACAGCAAAGGAGTGAGTTTACTTAATGGCATCACAGGTTTTCAGGTTATTTGTGAAATTTTGTATCTTGATTGTTTTTATGTATAGTCCAAATAATTTGTCTGATGTCACTTTCTACTCTTGGTGCAGAATTTTGCATGACTGAATGTCTAATGAGGAGTACAGCAATAGAACAGTATAGGAACAGTATATGGCCAACAAGCTAGTGCTGATTCCTGGTCCTTAATTTTGCCTGTTACTTATTGCATACACGTGATTATATCCCTCTGTTTGCCTCCCATTCATGTACCTATCAAATACGCCTTAAGCATTGCTAATATGCCTGCATTCACTATCTCCACTGGCAGCGTGTTCCAGGCATCCTCCACCCTCTGTGAAAAATTTTCCCCATACTTCTCCCCCAAACTTTCCTCCTCTCACCTTGTACCTGTGTCCTCTTGTAGTTGATCTTTCCACCCTGAGGAAAAAGCCTCTGACTATCCACCCTACCTTTTACCTGTCATAGTTTTGTAGCCTCTATCAGGTCACCCTTCAGCCTTTTTCTCTCCAGTGAAAACAACCCAAGTTTATTCAACCTCTCCTCATTACTAAAATCCTCCAGACTGGGCAACATCCTGGCAAACCTCCGCTGCACCATCTTCAAAATATCCATGTCCTTCTGGTAGAGTGACAACCAGAACTGTTTGCAATATTCCAAATGTGGCCTAACTAAAGGTTTGTACAGCTGTAACATAACTTGCCAACTTGTATATTCGATGCCCCAGCCAGTGGCAAGCCTGCTATATGTCATCTTGATCATCTTATCCACCTGCGTTGCCACTTTCAGGGATCTGTGGATCTGTATGCCCAGATCTTTCTGAATGCCAATGCTCCCAAGGGTTCTGCCATTTATTATATAATTCACACCTGAATTTTATCTTCTAAAATGCATCACCTTGCATTTGTCTGAATTAAACTCCATCTGTCACTTCTCTTCCCAAATCCGCAATCTAGCTGTATCCCGCTGTATCCTTTGACAATCATCCTCACTATCTGCAATTGCAATTTTGGTGTCATCTGCAAAGTTTATAATCAGGCTACCTACATTTTCCTCAAGATCGTTTATATAGGTTACAAACAACAAAGCTCCCAGCACCAATCCCTGCAGAACACCACTAGTTACTGGCCTGCATTCCAGAAATCACCCTTCCACCGCTATGCAGTCTTCTATGACCAAGCCAGTTCTGGTGGTATCCATCTATCCAGCACACCCTTGATCCCATGAGAGTCTACTTTTTGTACCGGCCCACCCTGCAGTGCCTTATCAAATGCCTAACTAAAGTCCATGTAAAAAACATCCACTGCCCTTTCCTCATCAATCATCCTTATCAGCTCCTCAAAAAACTAACTCAGGTTGGTGAGACATGACCTTTCCCGCACAAATTCATGCTGTCTATCACTAACATGTCCATTTGCTTCCAGATGTAAATAAATCCTGTCTCTCCCTATCTTTTCCAACAGCTTCGCCACCACTGACGTCAGGATCACCAGTCTGTAATTACTTGGATTATCTCTGTTTCCCTTCCTTAAACAAAGGAACAACATTAGCCTTCTCCAGTCCTCTGGAATATTGCCTAAAGCCAAAGAGAATGCAAAGATATCTGTTAAGGCCCAGCTATTTCCTCTCTTGCCTCCCACGGTATCCTGGGATAGATCCCATTTCAGGACACCCAACAATTCGTTCGCTATGTTGACCTGCCTGAGAGTATTCACACACCTTTTCCTAAGCTCAGTGTCCCTTGTGTCCCTCTCTTTGGTGAATACAAATGTCCTCATTAAAGATCTCACCCATTTCCTCTGGCTCCACACATAACCTCCCTCCTTTATCCTTGAGTGAGCCTACTCTTTCCCTAGCTACCCTCTTGCTCCAAATATATGTATAAAGTGCCTTTGGATTCTCCTTAACCTTGCTGGCCAAGGACATTTCATGGCCCCTCCTAATTCCCTGTTTGAGCTGCTTCTTACTTTCTCTATATTCTTCAAGGACTTTATCTGTTTTGAGTTGCCTAGACCTTAAGCATGCTTCCTTTTTTTTTGACTTAGCTGATAATTTCCTCTGTCATCCATGGTTCCTTAATCCTGCCATTTCTGTCCTTCATTTTCAGAGGACAGGCATGTTCTAACCAACTGGTCTTTAAAAGACTCCCATGTATCAGATGTGGATTTACCCTCAGTCACTCCCAATCTACATTCTCCAGTTCTTCCCTAATTCAGTTATAGTTGGCCTTCCCCCAACCTAACACCTTCATCTGAGGTCCACTCTTTCTCATATACTTATGGATAAGGACCATAAAACCTACAGAATTATGATCACTATTCCCAAAATGCTGCCCCACTGAAACTTTGATCACCTAACTGAGCTCATTTCCCAATACCAGGTCCAGTATGGCCCCCTCCCTTGTCGGACTTTTCACGTACTGCTTCAAAAAACTCTCCTGGACACGCTTAACACACTGTTTCCCTGTTCCAAACTCTGGCTTTAAGGGAGTCCCAGTCAATATGGGGGAAGTTAAAATCACCCACTACAGCAACACTGTTATTTTAATATCTTTCCAGAATCTGACTACATATCTCTTTCTCGACCTCCAGCTGGCACCTGAGAGGTCTGTAGTACAATCCCAGCACTGTGATTGCATCCTTCCAATTCCTGAGCTCGACCCATATTGCCTAGCTGTAAGACCCCTGCAAGGTGTCCTCCATCAACGCAGCAGTGATATGCTCCCTAACCAGTAATGCAACTCCCCACCTCCCTTACTCCGCTGTCTCATTTAAAACATTGATATCGCAGAATGTTAAGCTGCCAACCCTATCCTTTTTTCAACCACATATCTGTGATAGCAACATCATCATAACTGCATACGTTAATCCTGGGTCTAAATTCATCCATCTTACCTGTTATACTACTTGCATTGAAGCAACACAGTCTAAGCCTTCAGTTCTGCTCAGCTCAGCAAACTCTCCCTGACTGCTTTTCCTCTTGGCTATATTTGCCTTCGCTGTTCCCTAGCCTCTATACTTTTTGACCTGCTGCTCTGGTTCCCACCCCCCACCACACTAGTTTAAACCCTCCTGAGTGGCGCAATCAAACCTCCTTGCTGGATATTGATGGCCCTCCAGTTTAGGTGCAACCTGTCCTTCTTGTACAGATCCCATCTTCCCCGGAAGCCACCCCAATGGTCCACATATCTGAAGTCCTACTCCCTATGCCAGCTCTTTAGTCAAGTGTTCAGTTGTACTATGTCTCCGTTCCTAGCCTCAGTAGCCTGTAGCAAGGGGAGTAATCCTGAGATTTCTATCCTAGAGATCCTGCTTTTTGGTTTACTACCTAATTCCCTGAATTGTTGTTGCAGGACCTTGTCACTGTTCCTACCTGTGTCATTTGTGCCAATATGGATGTGATTTCTATCTGTTTACCTTCCCATTTCAGGATGCCACTGACTATCAAATCTCCGGTTACTATTGCTCTACTACGCTTTGTCCTTCTCCTCTATGTAGCAGGACCAGCCATGGTGCCACTGCTGTGGCTGCTGCTGCTGTCACCTGATGGGCCATCCCTCTCATCAATATCCAAAAACGGACTACATGTTTACCAGGGGACTCCTGTACTGACTGCCTGCCCCATCTCGCGGTCACCTACCTATGTTCTTGTACCTTAGGTGTGACCATGTTTCTATAACTTCTATCTGTGATGCTGTTTCCTATTTGTGTGCTTCTTAATTTCTCCAATTGCCACTCAAGCCAATCCATTTGTTGATTGAGCAGTTGAAGCTGGGTACACTTCCTGCAGATGTAATTATCAGGGATGCTTCCATGACTGACTACATCCTGCACGCGGAATGCAAAACCCCACCAACTGACATGACTAACCCTCTGTTGTCTGTAAGATTAAAATTTAAATTTGCTTAGCTACATATAAATTAAAGTTACTATTTTCCAACAAATAGCATTCCCTGCCAATTTACTCACTATCTGAATTCCCTGTACTAACCAGAAGACGAACTAACTGTACTAACCCTTTAGAAAAACAGAGATACACTTACCCTGCACTGCAGTGAAATTCCTTCACCTGTATTATCAAGGGAATGAATGGGTTAATACAAACTCGCACCCGACCTGCACTAATCAGTCAGAAACTACGTTCCTTTACCCCCGTGACATCAGCAAGATGCTTCTCTGGAATGGGTGGCTATTGGCTCCTCTTGAAAGGAACCTGCCTGAATCAAAACCGAGTACTTGGGGCTGAAAAGAACTTGCAAAATCAGTGTGGAAAATTACAACCTTGTTCATGTAATAAACATTGATTTTCAGGTGGTTGAAGACGGTTATGAATTCTTTGCGAAACGCCAACTGGTTACATTGTTTTCTGCTCCTAACTACTGTGGCGAGTTTGATAATGCTGGAGGAATGATGAGTGTCGATGAAACATTAATGTGTTCTTTTCAGGTATGTATTGGTCAAGTACATAGTGTGGTGTTTGTAGTACTGTTCACTTCAGCACTACAACACACACCAGGAAACATGGTTGAAATGTTTCCCTATAGAAGAAATGACACATGATCCATCACCTCTAATTCTTCTAAACTTCAAGACCCAATTAGACTAAATTTAGCCCCTCGTCATAGGAGAAACAATCTATTGAAAGAATTGCCGTTCTAAATTGGAAGAATTCTGTTTTTAATAATTGTTAAGATTAATTGATCATAAAGTCATAAAAAATGGGAGCAAGTGAAGGCCATTTAGCCTAGTGAGCCTACTCAATAATTTGATCATTCGATGCCACTTTTTGACTTTGACAGCTTTCTGTGCTACTGAATTCTGAAGGCTCACCACTCTCTGTTTGAAGAAGTATTTCTCAGTCCTAAATGGTTTAGACTGTGACCCCTGGTTCTGGACTCCCCTGCCAACAGCAACGTTCACCCTGAATCTACCTTGCCTAGTTTTGTTAAAATTTTGTAGCTGAGATTCTCTCCTCGCCCATTCTTCTGAACTCCAGCAAATATAATTCTAAACAATTCAACCTCCCCTCGTACACCAGCCCTGCCATCCCTGGCATTAGTCAGGTAAACCGTTGCTGCACTCCCTCTACAGCAAGAAAATCCTTCCTCAGATAAGAAGACTGAAACTACACCCAGTATTCCAAGTGTGTGGTCTCACCAAGACCCTGATATAATTGCAGCAAGACATCCTTGCTCCATAGTCATTCTGTTGCTCTGAAGACCACGTACCAATTGCCACCTTAATTGCCTGCTGTACCTGCATGCTTACCTTCAACGAGTGGTCTCATTGCAAATTCACTTCTCTTAATCTTTTGCCGTTCAGATAATTTGCCTGCTTTTCCTGCCAATGAATAGCATAAAAAGTGTAAGGGCATTCTTGAGAAAATCAGGAAGGCAAAGAGTGGATATGAGATAGCCTTGGCAGATAAGGTTAAGGTTAATCCAAAGAGATTCTACAAATATACTAACAGCAAGAGAGTAACTAGGGAGAGAATAGGGCCCCTTAAAGATCAAAGAGGCCATCTTTGTATTGAATCTCAAGAGATGGGAGAGATGTTAAATGAATATTTTGTGTCCGTTTTTACTGTGGACAAAAAAATGGAGGCTGAAGAACTCTGGGAAATGAGTATTGATGTTTTGAAAACAGTTCATATTACACAAGTAGTAGTGCTGGAGGTCTTAGGTAATATAAAGGTGGATAAATCTCTGGGACCTGATCTAGGGTATCCCAGGAAGTTGTGGAAAGTTAGGGAGGAAATTTTGGGGCCCCTTGCAGAAGTATTTGTATCATCCGATGAGTTGCCGGATGACTGGAGAGTGGCTAACTTTGTGCCTTTATTTAAGAAGGGATGGAAGGAGAAGCCTGGGAACTATAGACCTGTGAGTCTAACTTCACTGGTGTCTAAGTTGTTGGTGATTCTGAAAGATAGGACTTTTATGCATTTGGAGAGGCAGGGAATGACTAGGGATAGTCAGTATGGTTTTGTGCGAGGGAAATAGTGTCTCACCAACTTTATTGAGTTTTTTGAAGGAGTAACCAAAAAGATTGAGGGCAGCCTGGTAGATGTAGTTGACATGGACTTTAGTAAAACCGTTGACAAGGTTCCGCATGGTAGACTAATTAATAAAGTTCGATCACATGGGATTCAGGGTTCTGTTCTGGAGTACTGTGTCCAGATCTGCTCCCCTTGTTATAGGAAGGATATTATTAAATTGGAGAGGGTTCAGAAAAGATTTAGCAGGATGTTGCTGGGAACGGAAAGTTTCAGTTGGAAGGAGAGGCTGGATAGGCTGGGATTGTCTTCACTGGAAGGGTGTAGACAAGGTAAATGGCAAGTGCCCCTTCCCTAGGGTAGGGGCTTTGAAGACTGGGGGCGTATTTTTAAGGTGAGAGGAGAAAGATATAAAAAAAAATGTGGGGACAATTTTTTTTACACTGGGAATGGTTCGTGTGTGTGGAATGAACTTCCAGAGGAAGTGGTGGATGTGGGTACAGTTACAACATTTAAAAGACATTTGGGCAAGTACATGAATAAGAAATATTTGAAGGGATATGGGCCAAGTGCAGGTAGGTAGGACAGGTTTAGTTTGGGATTATGGTCAGCATGGAGAGATTGGTTCAAAGGGTCTGTTTCCATGATGTATGACTCACTGACTTTTATTTATCCGTGTTATACTGCATTTGCTGTAGCTGGTTGAACTGTGGGCCTCAACTCCACTTTTCTTGTCTGCCGCCATAAATTCTAATTTCTCTTGTTGAAGCAACTTTGAATATACTAGATGATAGAATATCCACTGCTTTCCAGGGAAAGTAATTCCAAAGACTAACAGCCCTCTGAGACAATAAGATGTTCCATCTCCATCTTGATATGGAAACCCCATTATTTTTAAACTGTTTCAGAGTTCTAAGCTCCCGCCAAGAGACATCCTCTCAGCCTGTACCCTGTTGATTCTTTTCAGAACCTTCTGTTTAAATAATATCATTTCTTATTCTTGACTCCAGTGCATACAGGCCCAAACATTCCTACCAGTTTTATTCCACAAAATGATCATTTAGAAATTAAATTTTAATAGCATCATCCAAACTTGTGACCTTTACCACCACAGAGGGACAAGGGCAGCAGGTATGCATGAAGACCACTAACTGTAGGTTCCTGTCCAGGCCACAAACGATCTGGAGTTTGGATTCTGTTGCCATTCCTTCACTGTCACTGGGTCAAAATGCTGAAACTTCCTGCCTAACAGAACTGCGGCTGTACCTGTGCCACAGAGGCTGCAACAGTTCAAGAAGCAGCTTATCACCATCTTCTCAAAGTCATTTAGGGATGAGCAACAAATGCTGGCCTAGCCAGTAATACCCATGTTTCATGAAAATTTCAAAAATGTTTTATTGCATAATTCAAATCTGTGGTGACAACTACAGCGAACGGATACATTTGGGACTATCAAAAATCAATTCTGTCATGCCTTGAGCTTCTCCGATTACAATGTAGAGACTACCTTTTGAGATGAAGCCTTGGCTAATTTAGCTACCTAACCATCTTTATCTCATCCAGAACAATTCTGTGGTAAATAAAAGTGTTTTCTCAAGCATGTTGCTACTGTGGTCTGTGTGCAAATGAGCTTTCACTTCTGTCCTTTGTGCCTGATTTTATTTTTGGATTAACTGTTTTCTGGTAGCACGGTCAAACTTTATAATTCCTCCATCTATTTGCTTGCTAGTTCTAGAAAGAATAGGGTTGAACAGTTTTCCTTTTAACTTCTCCATTGCGTGAATTTTGCAAAGCGTGGTTGGGAAGAAGCATCTCTCCTGTTGGGCACGTAGCCTCTCAGAGGACCAAAAGGTGCCTGAATTATATGTTGCAATTTTTTGCCCCTTGCCCCTATTTTAACATCCTGCTGTCCTCAATTTGAATTCCAAAAAATGTTAGTGTTTGTCTTTTGACTGTCATTTTGAGTCATCTCTTGAAATTTCTCCTTTAGCTTGGCATATGTTTTAATTGTGCCTCTTTGAAGTACCTTGTGACACATACTTCGAACTTATATACAAGTTCCATTATTTGCTTAGATTATTGTATCATTTTCAGTAAATGTGCATTTTATATCTGTTTTTAGATTCTAAAGCCTTCTGAAAAGAAAGCAAAATACCAGTATGGAGGTTTGAACTCTGGCCGCCCTGTTACACCCCCTCGCACGGCAAACCCGCCCAAGAAGAGGTGAATAGCAAAGACAGCCCCAAGCACCTAATCATTTGTACACCGAGATAGTTACAAGTATACCAGTTCATATTCTAAAGTATGTAACCTGTAAGCACCGTTCAACCATCTGCTGCTGTCTTTGTGAGCCTCAATGCTTGTAAAAAGAAATGAAATAACTAAGTCTTTTTGAAAAAAGGTTTTCCAGTAAATACGCAGGTGTGGCATATTGTAATGTAAATCAATGTAGTACAGTAAACAGTGCATTTGACTTTTTTTTTGTTTGTTTGACCTGGGATGAAGGTCAGCAGATCTACCTAAGGCTGGGTAAAGGCTATCCTTCCAACCTTCAAGCTTTATCTGGCAATCCCTTTGAATCTTGCAATTAATTTACTGATTTGGTTATTTATTTTTGAAATGTGTACCTGCAGATACAGATGTGGTATAGGCTCCCCGAAGGCCTATTGCAAAAACTATAAAAGCAGTCTGGTAACTAAAGACCCCATCAAGTTCTACAGTAGTCACATTTAACTGGTGCATGGGTTGTCTCATGTTGGTGCCACTCTGGTACTGTTGCATGACACAGCTGTGACATTACCAGTCTGGTTTTCATATCAGTTATCCACATTTTCTTTGTAGTTGCACTAAAGACTAGCTTTTATACAGAGGTATTTATTTGCCTTGTGATGATTCTCCATGCTAGCTTCTGAATAGTCTATAAGACATTTAATTTATGAAGTTGTGAGGGAAAGAATTGGAATTATCAAGCTTAGAAAGTAAACTTAATGCAATCTAGCAGAGCAAATCTAATGAATTAAGCTTTTTGAAGCAGTTAAAAGCCAGAGGAAGGTTCAAGGGAATGAGTTTTGTTTTTCCTAGCTTTAGAATTAAATATTTTAATTTCTGTGTAGGTTTTCACACAACCTGTGGCTCCCATGATTTTCTGATTTTGCGTACGCATGCAGAACCCAGTTAGTATCTGAGCTGTTACACATGGTCTTGTATCATCAGTAATGACCCTATAGAAAGTTAACAAAGAAGTTTAAGTCTCAAATGTTTAGCTCTAAAGATCCATCCCAGTCCTGAGAATTTGCATCATTGCAAGTGTGCGGAGAGGGTAAGGAGGGGTGCTGACGTTTGCTTGTCTTAGTTTGGAATGCCAGAGAATATGAATGTCATAATCTAAACGTTTTTTTTTATTAAAACCACAATTGCATGATTTACTGATAGATCTAGCAGCCCTTGTTTTAATGGATTTGTGCTCATATTCTGAAGATTGAAACTGTAGCTTTCCAAAGGCAAAATCTGGATTGTGCTGCCTTTGAGGGCTGTTCCCTTATTTATGTAAATCAGTTATAATGAAGCCTGAGGGCATTATTCTGTTGAGATTGTTTTGTTAAGGATGCTGATTTCTGCTGTTTTCAATGCAACCTTAATCCTGATATAAAGATTTTGTTTCTTTTCTCTGCAAAGTGTTGCTGTTTGATCTGTTAACTCTTGCACAGTAGCAAGTCTTCAACTCTTATGAAAATAGGTGGAATAATGTCATATTTAACTGACTAAACTCATTTTATATCATTACTGAAAAGGGCAAGTGTCATGTCACTTGTGGTAGATTGTGTAAAGAGGTTCTTCCTTCTCTAATGCTTTTTTCTTTTGCTCCTTCTTTCTTTTAATGGTACTGTATCCTTTAAGAGCAAAGCTTTAGTTGGTGCTGTCACTGGATTTCACATGCCAGAGATGTCATGAGTTTAGTAATATATAACATTACACCATTTACTGTTTTGCACTGCATGGGAGAGGTCTAGTGTTGAGAATTTATAATGCGTGAAGTAGGCATTACAAAGAAGTTGTAGATAGTGGTATTTATTTCTACAGATTATTTTAAGAACAGAAAAGTTGAGGATTTAGAAGGATATTGGCTTGAAACACAAACCTTTAGTGTCCAGCTTTTCCTATTTACCATTTGGATGCATTTTAAACATCGTGCTAATGTTTCTGCATCTCGTACTGTTTCTGTCTTACTCCCATGGGAGATGAATATTTACATTTTAAGTAAACAAGTTTAAAGAAGTAAAATGTAAATTTAGAACATGAATTTACACATTCTGCTCCCACTGTCCTGACCTACTGCAAGTTCACCTTAGCTTTACCATAACTCAGCAAGATCTCCTTCCATTGCCACTGGGTTAGAATTCAAACTTCTCCCTTTTTATGATTTATCTGCTTACGCTTGGTATTACTCTTGTTCATACACTCTTTTTCGCAGTAGTCCAAGTGTGGTCTTAGCAACGACTTGTAAATACCCCAATTTCTGAAAACCTGCAAGTTACCTCCTGGCTTTATATCTTCACACTATGTCTGTTTGCTTTTACATTTTCCCCATACTATTTGATATTAAAAGTGCAGTACTGATTACCCCAGATAACCTTCCAAGTATCCTTATGGAAATTGAATTCCTTTCCATATACTCTCAAGACATCGTTATGAATTGGTCAAGAATACTGCTCTCATTTATCTGAATTTCATTTGCCATATATCTGACCCATCACCATCTTTCTGTGGATTTATTGTTGAAACCTGTTCTGCTTTTCATGTTTTATTGTCATCAGAAATTTATTAACATATGTTTGACTTAGTAGATTTTGGACAAATGTATATAAATTAATCCCTTCAAAATTCTTTGTTTTGCAATCTGACAATGCTGCTCCCTTTTCCAACTTTCTCATCAATGTACTAACCATTCGCCTGATTTACTCTAGATTCCTGTGTTTTTAATTTCATTTTAAATACTACTTGTCAGAAACTTTCAGCTTGAAAAGTTCAAATAAGCTGTTACTTGGAGTTATCATTGCTTGTATCGTGTGGAAACATTCAGAAAATGTACTGAGTAAGATCCTTCTCCTTCTAAATGAATGTTGTCCTTCAATTTTATCTGTAGGGTATGCCTTTGGCTTCTGCCTTAGAACAGTTTTTTTAATATTTTGTCTGTAGGTGAGACTGATGGCTCCACATGTACCTGGTCAGATTCACTGGCATTTTAAAACATATATTGATATATATTTTCTGCTTCACCTCGTGTGTCATCAATTCCTCTTTAAAGACTACGGTTTTGTTCATCAAATATTCAGTAAATTTCCTCTGATAAGTCTTACCAAATATGTTAGGATTTCCTATGGTGAAGTTGTAGGTGGATTGATCAACTCTTTACTATAAATGGACTGCACTTATGTTTTTGTAAAATAAGAAACAGAAGCCTTCGAGGAAATTGGTAAATTCATCTCCCACCCTAGGAGCCTATATCAGATTTTGCATCTGCTGGGTTTGTTTTCAGCCCATTCATTTCACCAGGATCAATTATTACATAACATAAGACTTGACAGTGAAGGCTGTTGAAAGAAAGTCATATATATTCTTTTTCTGGCCTTTGGAGAGAGCTTCATACATATTAGTGATGGTAGAAACCTATTAACAGCAAGTTTGCCAATAACAGAAAATTAAAACATTGTAACAAAATGTACAGCTGTCACAGTATGTAACACAGCTGCAGAAGACCCATGTATGTTTTCAACAACGGTGTTAGTTATGGAAAAAAAGTATTTAATTAACTTCTAAGCTTTTCTTTAAAATTGCCTGTTTTTGTTTGTTTGCTTTGACTATTAAAATTCCTAGGATTAAATGTTGCACTTCTTTCCTTCCAAGCTTCTTCCAAAGCATCGTGCGACACAATCTTGTTCTGTGCAAAATTGTTCAGGCTACAAGTTTTCAGAATCCACTTGTTTGTCATTTTTGAATAAATTTATAAAAACTTACATTTTGTCAAATGTTATTTATGTATGTTTGAGGACACTGCATTATGGGAACAAACAAACCATTCCCTTTAAAAGTGCAATCTGTGGGCTAACAAAATGGCTATGGTTCTCTTATTTAGTAATTCTACTGTACTTGTAAAATTGGGAGCCACAATGATTAACTTGGAATTAGTGTGATTTGTTTGTCAACGTTCTAGATCTTTTTACATGGTTTGATCATAGTGCACTGTGACGTGTGAATTGTACAACCTTTTGTATTGATTTATGAACTGGAGTGATAAAACAAGACCAATATTATGCAGATGTGTGTGCAACTCTCAAACACAGTATCCTGTGTAAACCCCTGGTGGGGCCTTTCCTTGAAAGCAATTGGTTTTTTAAAAAAATTGATTGTGTGTTTTGTGCTAAAATGCCCATGTACGTTATTAAATCAACTTGAAACCAGAATTTGCTCGGAAGTTTCAATGTTGAGGATTAATCTGTGGTTGATATTTGATCTATCCCTTCTTATTTTTCTCTTGATTTCAACGTTTTGTTAAATAGCTTTAGAGAATGCCATGTATCAGGGTCTGATTGCTGAGCGAGATTAAGGGCTGCTAATTTAGAGTCATAGACTCATACAGCACAGAAACAGACCCTTCAGTCCAACCAGTCCTAGTTTGCCAAACACTCCAATAATTTCTTGTTACTAGTTTTGAATATATTTTGCAGCCAGTACAGAGTCTACTAACCATCAAATTTGCAAAAGATGGGTTAATTTTCTTCTAACTATTAGCTAAAAACATAGTTTTGCTGCAGCTATATGCTGTTGGAATGAAGCAAACTGAAGTCATACTGTTGCTATATGCTTTTCTGTGATTGGGTAAAATAGATCTCTGTGCATACATGCAAGCCAAATTCTCTCATGTTCGCACAAAGGGCAAAGTATAACAAGTTAGTTCGTAGAAGTTGACAATCCAGTAGTATGTTTAAAAATTACATTGTACATTGTAAAAACAGGCTATTTGGGACCAGCTATTGTGTATGATCCATATTTGAGTCCTCTCACCACATTTCTTTCTATGCTGTAAAATTCTGTTATGCTAGACTTTTAATTCTTTTTGAAAAAGAGTAACTGGAATATTGTTAAGTACTGGCCACCTCAGTTCTGTTTTTTGGGCCAAAGATGGTTAAAAAGAATGTTTAATACTGGTGTCCAAAGTTTATTGGGGGTTTGGCATAAGGTGGATTTGGGAGAATCTATTGCCAGAGATGAGTGCGTGGGTAACTGGAGAAAACATTACTAGGCCAGAAGGTAGGAGTCTAGGACTGGAATGAATTGCATAGTTCTTTCAAATAACCAGCACAAGTATGATGTGCTAATTGCCTGCCTTGTGCTCGTGACTCACTTACGCCCATTATCGTACCTTTGTTTCCCATTTAAGTCCATTTATGCTTCATGCCTAAATTGCTCTGCATAGCAGCAGCTTCCACATCTTAACTATTCTTTGCTTAAAGTTTCTTCTGAATTTCCTATTGGATTTATTAATAACTATCTTGTATTTAACGTTTATTTTGGACAGCATGCCTCCCCTTTTCCCAACTGACGTTACTTGTCACACCTGTTACCTGATTTGATTTATTTATTGTCATGTGAATCTTGTTTCAAAATACAATGAAAAGTATTCTTTAGAGTCGCTGCTCTCTGGCACTATCTTAAAACACAGAAAACTAAACCAAAACATAGATTATAAAGGCAGAAAAATGAAGAAATAAAGAAAGTGTTCTGTTTACAGTCATTCATGTTAAGTGCTCTGTCATGGAACTGATGGCCAGGCATAAGTCCCCTTTGCTGTGCCACTGCTGGAATGAAAATTGCCACTCTTCAGCCCCGTCTCGCCTCCACCAATGCCCTCGATGGACCTCGCCAATGCAAATGCCACCAGGTACCACACTGGCCCAAACTCGACTAAGCAGCCACTGCTGATGCCACCTGCTCTTGTACTAGGCTCAAACTCACCACTTCTGCCTCCACGAATCAGTGCCAGATGCAGATGCTGCCAGGAACCCAAACTCTCCTCCACTGCAGCAGCTGTGATTCAGTGCTAGGACCAGCTTGACGATGCAAAAGCAGCCAGGAAATCAAAATAGCTTCTGAAGCTGCTGCCATGAGTCTGCGTTGCTGGGCCCACTCGCTGCCACCGATACTATTGCTGCAACTGAGCTTTTTGAGGTAAGAAAGAAAAAAAACAAGAAAAGACGGGAAAAGAGAAAAGAAGGGAAAAGAGAAAAGAAATGAAAAGAATAACAGACAAACCCTGGGCTCAGAAGCTTTACTCCACTGCCATCTCACTGGAACACTTTTGTAGTCTTAAAGAGCATCTGCCAAATTTATCCCTCAACTTTTCCAAAGAAAAGAACTTGTTCAATCTTTGCTGTTTCATATAACCTCTCAGTTCATCAAATTGTGCTAAACCTTAATTGGTAAAAGAAAATGGCAGTGGAAATGCAGATAAAGGTGAAGTCACTACAGCCTCAGAGGACCATAGGGCTGCTTTTTCAGAGAGAAAGAAATATGACTGATGGTGATTTAATCTGAAGGTCACCATACCTCAGGCAAGGCGCAAGGTTGAAAAGGTGAATCTTCATGGTGACTTCAGCCAGTGTGGGAATTGAACCAAAGTTGCTGTCATAAGCCAGCCAACAAGCCAACTGAGCTAACCACTCCCCTAAAAAGGTTGTGTTTATTATTGATTTAGTGCTGAATATGAAATGATTCAAGCTGCCTTTAGCAGTGACAAGGTACAACTGCAAAAATAAGAATAACTATTCATAAAGTTGCAACATTGTGACGGAAATGGGGAAGGAACAGTATTAGTTTTCCACGTAGCAGTAAATGCATTCAATTCAAACAAGTGGATTATTTAGTTTTAGAAGATCTGTAATGTTGTCTAGTACCATTTCAATATTTTAGCAAGGTGGAGGATTCACATAACAACATAGAAGTCTATAAATTGAGATGCATAGATAGGGTTGATGGTCAGAATCTTTTTCCCAGAATTGAAACTTGGGTGGCACGGTGGCTCAGTGGTTGGCACTGCTGCCTCACAGTGCCAGGGACCCAGGTTCGATTCCGCTCTTGGGCGACTGTCTGTGTGGAGTTTGCACATCCTCTCTGTGTCTGCGTGGGTTTCCTCCAGGTGCTCCAGTTTCCTCCCACAGTCCAAAGATGTGCAGGCTAGGTGGATTGGCCATGCTAAATTGATGTCCATGAATATGCAAGAAATGAAAGGATATGGACCATGGCAGTCAGAAGGGGTTAGTTTAATTTAGCGTCATGTTCAACACAACATCATGGGCTAATAAGGCCATTCCTGTGCTGTACAGTTCTATGTTCTATGATAGATAAGAGACCTCATTATTGAGAGAACAACTAAATCTGCGAAGTGGATTTGAGGAGGCAATAGATCATTATATCAAAACTAAAGCAACCAGTAAGTAGATATTGATACAGACCTTGAAAGAATGTATAAACCTGAAACCAGAATAAACAGGTGGTAATATGGCAGATGAATAACATGAGCTTGTGTAACTTTATAAATGTTGAAAATAGTACATCATTCAAGTTTATAATTTTGTCTTGCCACAATGTGGGAATGTCATGGCTAAACACAAAAGATGGAAGTAACTATAAATGTGATATAAAGAATTTGGAAAAGGGCAACACGCCCTTGCTTCAAGATACCCCAAATAAGAGTCAAGACTTTGTTTTAAACAAAATGGAGTGTTTGGATAAGCTAAATTGAAATTAGGCTTGAACCTCATGTCCCTAACAATGAATGACTATGCCACTATGCAATGAGGTATGATGATTGTGGCATTTGTTGAGGCATTTGTTGACACCTTCCAGCATCCAATGAATTTGAAAACTGGTTGGTATAGTTATGTGTATTCTAAATGGATGACAAAAGGGGCGGCCACCTTTTAAAGCCCATTAGTCTTGAGCAAATCCATTATTTTCCATGGAATGCAAGAATTGAGAGTAAGATGAAAATGTATACTAGTAATCAGTAACCATCAATGAATTCAGAAAAGGAAGTTACTGTCCAACTTACTCAATTTGAAACAAGTTCCAACAATCAACACCGTTACCGAATGGAGTATCTAGAACTTCTGAAAGGCTTTTGATACTTGGGTATAAAAGGTCAATAGTTGAACTTTGGTGATTCAGAGTAAGCCCTGTGAATGAATAAGAAATTTACTGAAGTGTAGAGGAAGTGGATCAAAGTAGGGAAGCGAGTATGGAATGAAATTCCTCCATTCAATGCCATCATATAATTGGCTGAATGGTGGCCATCTATGCTGCATGCTTCATTTATTGCTGTTTCTAATTTTGCATCAGTGCTCTGGATTCAGAACTGTATTCAAGTGATCTGATCGCAGATGTCAAATGAGAAGTGGCTGAAAAATCTGAAAGAGGTCACAATGAGTGATGTAAATAGAACAATGGCACATTAAATTAAGTATGGGCTAGTTTAAATTGCTACGCTTGGAAGGAAATATAGATGACAAATATGTGAATAACCAAAGATCTTAACAGACTCAAAACTAAAGATGTTCAAAAAACACAAAGCAGAAATTGACTAAGTTGGGGGATCTTGTACTTGAAGATCACAGTAAGAGTAGATAGAGATCAAATTTTATAGACTGTGGTCAGATTTCATCTCGAGTATTGCGACCAGTTTTGATTATTTGAGAGAAAGCATTGAAGCATTAGAGTCAGTGCAGTGTGAAACTGATAACAGTCATATTTTATGATCTATTCACTGGATTCTAAATGCAAGGTCATTTTTCTCCCTCCTAACTTGCTGTCATGTCACTACTTCTAAATCAAACACAAGTCTGTTTAAGCAGAATTCTTTTTTATATTCATTACTTGTGTGTCTTCTCTCCCTTGATTTGCCATTGTAACATATTTTTAAATGTTTAATGTTTCTTTTTAAAATTGTCATGTTCTCAGT